CAAGTTTAATTCTATTGGCTGCTACACTTTATACAAACTTCTAGTAATGTCGGAAAAATGATCATACTCAACCATACCATAAAATCTTCGACCTCCGACCTCTCCGACCTGTACCAGAAAGCTGGCACATAAATGTAGAGCACATGATATTTGTGTGAATGATGTGTTCGACAGTAGGGGAACTAAAACAATGATAGGAATGCCAGAGAGCAAGTTTTGTGTCGAGTTTATCAGCGGCAGGAATCGCCTGAAACCCTCTGTGAGCTGAGACAATCGCGATTTTCTGTTCTATGTATTTTGATACAACTTTGGCTCAGGAGCACTGTGCCCTAGAGCCGATAAATTTAGAAATGAGCCCAGGATTTTTTTATCGTCCGGATAAAAAAAAGATGCGTCCGGATAGTGTGAGTTGAGGCAGCCATTCATGGCTGGCATTATTCTACAGGCTTGTTATCTACCAATAATATGGCGGCACTTGTCAGCAGGCACGCGACACTCAAATTTACTGGCTCACAGCCACACTCGCAGACCGACAGCCAGGATTGGAAATCAGTCTTCATTTTTTTAACGCTACTGCGCAAATCTCCAGCCTTCCTTCCAAGCGTTCGCAGACTCCAAAATCTTCAGAGCGCCCAAAAGGAGCTGCCCCCCCCCCACCTCCCCCATCTCCACGACAACGAAGCTCATTGGAAGAGCATAGAGGCTTCTCTGAGGTTGCTGGTTCGATTCCAGCCATTGTCTCTCTTACGTATGTATGAATTGGCTTCTTGCTCGGTTACTAAACTACTGGCTCGAGAATGTCTTGTATATCCAGGTGCGGGATCTCGGATGGCTGTCCTTTGCAGAAGCCGCTGGTGGCGCTCGATCTTGGCGTTCAGCACCCCAGAACGATGATGGATGCGGAGGTGCTTCAGCATGCTTGCTCAGCGTCAGGACCTGATCACGATAGTCCGGCACCGTCGTGTCCAGCACAAACCCGTCGCTCACGTAGAGCTTCATGAAGGCTACGAGGAGCTTGGCGTCAGACTTCTGCTGCTTGAAGATTGCTGACTGCCAGATGCGCGGCTCTTGAGCGTACCACGCAAACCAAACGCAGTATAGGTAAGTTGCTGATCCCCTGCGACGTTTGCGCTTGTCTTGATCTTCTCCTGGCTCATGCTGACGTTTCTTGCTTGTGTTTTGCAACGCAGTTCCGCCCATTTTAGCTTCTAGGTTACCAAGGCGCTCGTCTTGCCGCTTGATGGCGCTCGTCTTGCCGCTTGATGGCGCTCGTCTTGCCGCTTGATGTGTTCCATTAACTGATCCATCACACTGCGTTGATGGTCGATGATCTTGTTCTGGTTGCTCCGATTGGCGATAATGGTG